ATGTTCATGAAACCCTAATTGCAAAGCTGTGGTAATTTTCCCTTAAGTTTGGTGTGATTTTCACAAATGCCCGGGCAATAGTATTTTTACTCTGTACACTAACACATACTGCCTATGTTAATATATTTTGTGAACTTTGATTTTTGCTTTCTCAGTTTAGTCTTGCTGTGTACATTCATCTCCTTCAATGAGTACCCAAAATTGCAGTGATGGCCTAAATCATTTTTAAAAAAATTTCAAGTATACTCATTTAACTAAATGTCTGGGCAATGTTGTACAACAGCTCCACACCTACATTTTCTGCCCATTTAACTATGTTACGCTTACGTTATTATTTGCTCACTCACAAACATTTTCGTTTGTACAACCTGCACATAATAAGTCTATTTATGAGATTTAATATTTTGGTATTACATTGTCTTGTATTTGAATTGGAATGTAGGTTTGCGTGCATGTGGTGTTATGATCCTTGCATAGGCAATATGCAGCACGTATGTGGTGTTACGATCCTTGCATTCGCGGAGTACCTCTTGGCTGGTTCGCCACTACTTCCTGACTGCACCTACGATTATGTCGACGACTTCCGTAGGCAATATGCAGCACGTATCTTTCGAATGACAGTGGCCTAAAGCTTGTGCAATATATGTTCTTTAATTAACGCACAACTTTGACAGATTATCCCTCTAGCTAATATATGCAAGGCATTTTTTTAGCCTTGTAATGATTATTCACTCTATGAATATGTACTCGAGCATGTAAAACATATATCATTTGATTAACACAAAATTATGACTGCTTTGGACATGAACATAAAACATGTCGCTTCATTTCTTGATGTTTGGATAGAATAATGCTTCAGATTCTCCCCCGAAATTTGGTCATTCCACATTTAATTTAAATTGTTTACTACCCTCTAAAGCTTAAGTGTAATTTTATTACGTGTCAAATGTTTGAACATAACCAGTACCACATTGACATTAAGTCTTGGTGTATAGAATAGAAACAATAACACACGGACATTAAGTGTTGTTGTATTGAACAGAATCAGTAACATACAGACATGAAGTGTTGGTGTATTCACTAGAATAAGTAGGACGACACACATATTAAGTGTTGGTTTATTGAACATAACCAGTAGCACACTTATATTAAGTCTTGGTGTATTTAACAAAAACAATAACACACAGACAATAAGTGTTGGTGTATTGAACAGAATCAGTAACACACAGATATGAAGTGTTGGTTTATTGAACAGAACGAGTACCACACTGTCATTAAGTCTTGATATATTGAACAGAAACAATAACACAGAGACATTAAGTGTTGGAGTTTTGAATATAATCAGTAACACACGGCTATTAAGTGTTGGTGTATTGAAAAAAATCAGTAGCACACAGATATTAAGTGTTGGTGTATTCAAGAGAAACAACTATTAAATCTAAGTGTACAACTGTTACATAAGGAAATACTATTTACATAGTGTTCTACTTGCCCATGAAATAAGTATATTTACATCATTTATGAGTGGTGAAGACAAAATATTACAGAGTATTACTTACCAAAAAGTGTGTGAGCAAATGCATAATAAAAACTAAACAAGAAATGTAGCATTGCTCCAATTAATGGTCAAGTTTTATATGACAAGACCAGTAGACCGTATACACAACCATAGCCTGAGATCAAGATTTGGGTAAGTGCGGTCATACAAACCATCTTTTCCCGGTCATTCCCTCGTAGGCATTTTTCACTTCCTATGTCACCAACGTTTGTACGAAGGATTGTCGATGGCTTTTTGGGGTTTCCCTGATTGCTCTGGTTCACCTTACGTTGTTCACTTTTTTTTGTTGTGTTGCGATCATCTCGAATCTTATGAGAGAACTTCCAACATCCAAGTTGTCATTGCCCTCTAAAATGCCTGCATATAAAAAATACAATTTTCCATATTGACATTATCTGTAGGTGAAACCTACATCCTACTTCTTTGCACAGACTAAAACTGCTGGTGCAAAACAAAACTAAAAGCAGAGAATAAATGTCGAAGCTGACACTATTTGTAGGTGAAAACTACATCCTACCTCTTTGCACAGACATAAATTGCTGGGCAAAACAAAACTGAAAACAGAGAATAAATGCCCAAAGTTACATTATTTGTAGGTGAAACCTATAGCCTACCTCTTTGCACAAATATAAATTGCTAGTGTAAAACACAATTGAAAGCAAAGAATAAATGCTCAACCTGACTTTATCTGTAGGTGAAACTTACATCCAACCTCATTGCACAGACATAATTGCTAGTGCAAAACAAACATAACTGAAAGCAGAGAATAAATGCCCAACCTGACATTATTTGTAGGTGAAACCTACATCCTACCTCATTGCACATACTTAATTGCTAGTGCAGAACAAAACCGAAAGCAAAAAATAAATTCCCAACAATAGTTTTCAAATAAATAACAATCATATGTCTTTTTTTATGCGGGACAATGTTTCTGAAATAATTGGCAGCCAATGAACCAACACTTTAATGGTCATATACTTTAAAAATCTAGGGGTATAAAAAATTCTATTAATTAAAGTCTTTTCAATGAACCAACACTTTATACATGTTTATAGCTAAATTGTAAAATAACACAAACATTTAATGCTAGTGCAATAAGAAATTATTACTAACCTGCGATAGGCGATGACAGCAGACTTCATACAATCTCCAGTAGATAAACTTCGAATCTGTAATATTAATTGGGAATGCATCCGCCTTGGGTCATTCCTCTTCAATTAACGCAACTTGGTTCATTACGCTTCATGTATCCTTTTTCGATCAAGCTTACACGACGTCACAGGAGAGATGGATCGCCGGCTGCTGGTCGCTACTAAATTCAGATTATTGTTCCGCGATAAATGAAAGAAAAAAAGGGGGAAAGACGGGGTGGGTGAGGACAGAAGAGGGAGGAGAGAATAGAGAGAGACCAGACAAGAGGATGGTTGGGTGGGAGTGAGTGGTATGCAAGGGGTGGGGGTATATGGGGTACACCACTGGGGTACAAAGTGGTGTACCCATAGCACGATTGTAAAAAAACTGGTGACGAATGATTTGCTACTGCACTACACAGAGAGTTGTTGTACACAAGGCTTTATTGATTTTCATTTTCGTGTGTTCTTGGTCAGTTTGGTTTGCAAAAATAAAAAAATAAAAAAAATTAAGCATTGGAAGCAATGAATGGTTAAAAACATTAAGCATTGCTGGTGATTTAACCACCTCACTATCTCCGGAGAACGGGCATTCCACCTAAACATGCCAAGCCAAACTTTGAATTAAAAAAAACGCACAGGTAAAGAAACACAGTAACGCAACAGGACTAGTTTTATAACACAGTACGGCAAGGGTAAGCCACAATACAACTCCAAACTTACAGCCATTCATTCAGTCTATTTTGCAAGAAAATATATAAGGAAATTTAAAAGCATCACAACACAGAACTGCAGATAGAAAAATGAACAAACACCCCTTTCAGCTGGTTTCCACAGGACTCAAGAGTTGCGCAATCTTAGCCGTGGGCACCAACGGAAGATAGGAAGTGACCTTGTACCCCTTCTGGGCGCCCACTTGCACAGTCTGGTTGTATCTCTCAGACAAGTAAGAAGCCGTGGGGGCCACGGCTCGAGCAAACTTGGGAACAAGAGGGAGATGGTTGAGGGAGCGCCAGGCTGAGGACGCATATTGCTCAGCCACAAGCTCGTACTTGAGGTATAGCCCCTTGGCAGCGGGTTCATACTCGGTGTACACCGATTTTGCCAGTGTAGATGCAGTTCCAATCACACCGGTGGTTTTGACATCAGCAACAACGGAGCGAACAACAGAGGGAGCCCTCTGTGCTGTTATCAGAGCCTGGGTTGATACCTGTTTCACAGATGGAGGGACATGGTCCTCAATCTTCTGGACCGATTCATCGACCTGCATGAATGAAGCAGAGCTTGAAATCCAATACACAGAATGAGAATGCCACAAAGCAAAGAAACATTGATGTTGCTACAATCACCATGGTCATCTCCAAATAGGAGCTTAATGTTCGTTTTCTACAAAAATATGAACTAGATGCAAGTTCTTCTGGCTGGTCTAAGCAAACATTAGACATCCACACTAACCCTAAGCCTGTAAGACCCCACCCCAAGAACTCATAAATCTGGAACCCTGACAGGATCTCCATGGCTATTGGAGAACATCGGATTGAGAACCTGCCGTTTACAGCTCTTGGTTAAAGGTGCATCCCTTTCCAACTATTAATTCACTCCTAACTAAGAGGCTAGGGATTCGGATCTTTGCCCGCAGCAAAATCCCACAGAAGTTTCACACCTCATAATGATAGCTATTGAAGTGATATTAACTATTAATGAGAGCTTTGAAGTGATGAAATGATATACATGCAAGTCACAAAGCACAGAGACCAAAGAATAACTAGAAATCAATTCCAAGGCAACCCAATAGTCAGTACCTATCCTCAACTGCATGAGGATGATATATGCCACCAAACCCAAACATAAACATAGAAACAAAGGTGTAGAAGGAATTGAACCAAACCCAAAACTCGGACAGCAATCTTCCTTGGATAACTTCCTCAGATTCACGCAAACAAATTCACATTCAAATATAATTTCAGGTGGAGAATCGATGTTTTACAAGATAGTCCAAGATAAAGCAAGCAAGAATAATCTTTGCAAGGAGCATCAATTTGATTCGGGAAACAGAAATATCAAGCATGCTAAAAAGAGCCTTACTCTAGCAAGTCAATCAATGAATGAAAGATCCAACATAACAAATATATGAAATAAATTGATCTCGGAATGTAAGTAACAACAGAACTTCCTAATAAAAAGAAAAACACAGCCAGAGCTCTTAAAATTCAAATACCTTGCGATCGACGAACTTTAGCACTTCCCCAGGAAGATAATGAATCTTATCATAAACCGGACCAACAACGGTCTTGACGGTACCCTCCACCGTCTGAACGCCGGGCTTGAGAGGGCCCAGATTCTCCTTGGCGTAAGTGTAGAGCTTCGCAGTGCAGATGACGGCGTGGAGCACCGCAGCTTGCACGAACTCCAAGTACTTCAGCCTCTGTTCCTCGCTCTGAATCTTAACCTTCCATGGAACAACACAAATCAAACACCAGAGAACAAGCAAAAACCAATCGTAAATCAGTGAAAACGCATAAAAGAGACTGAAAACAACTCAAAGAACTGGAGTTTTCGGAATCGGAATTGGATTTTACCGTCTCCGGCTGGGGTTGATTGCTAGGGTTCGTTCCTTCGGCCATGATCGCAGATCTTTTTTTTCTATTTCTCTGAAATGTAACGGTCAGGTAGGCGGACTGATTGTAGATACGGAGTATTATGTATATATATATATACTCCTATAATATATGCAAATGAAATTGGCGGTGGGATGTGAATAGAACAGGTGTCAATAAACGCGGTATGCTGCCGTCGGAAATTGGGATTGAATTTGACCCAAACGATTCCTTAGCAGCGAAGCTATTGTCCTTACTAATATTACCTCCGTCCCAGAGTATTTGCCCACTTTCATTTTTACACACTATCCAATGCACTTCTTTAATCCATTTTATCTTGTAATTTGTATATTAAAAAATTATAGAAATTATATATTAATAATCTATATGTTAAGACAAATCAAACAAGATCACACATGACTATATTTAGGCTTACACATTGAGAGAATTTGATGAGTCAAAGTGCTTAGATGAACAGTTCCTGATGGTGTAAATATAGCCGGGCGGGTTAACCGGGTTTAACCTGGACACTTGACCCGTAATATAAAACACACAACAAGAACACAAAGTATGACCTAGACCGGGTAAATCTCCTCAGTCCGAATTATATTTCTTACTCTGTCTCAAGAGTGTACTATTTTTAGTGAGAGAAAGAATGGATCCCCTCCTCTATCCAATATCATCATATTTATAGAGGAGGATTTGTGACCTTCCCATGTTCATCCATGGACAAAATAGGAAGCCCGTGGGAAGGTCACTGTACATAATCAATCTACTATTNACCCGGTCATTTCTTGCGCTCAACCCGTCTCTTTGGTCTTCTAGAATGTCCTTCGTAGAATAAGGTGATATTTTCGCTATCACCCAAAATGTGACCGGTCACTTTTTTAGTGGAAGTGACCGGTCAACTTTTGACCCGTCCTAATCGAAGAGTTAACCTCATTTGGTGATTGATAAAAGTGACCGGTCATACTTTGACCTGTCCCTTTCGGTTGTCCGGGTCGGGTATAGGGATATACCCATCATTTCCAAAAGTCAAAACTGGACGAATACTCCGGGACGGAGGGAGTATCTTGTAGGACTCTTTGTTTTGACAAGTGTCGTTCTCACACATTTTCCCTCTAATTTTTTTTTTATTTGACCTGAAGATTAAAACATACCTCGGAGTACAAAATTTTCAATAATTGTTCTTGATGGGATGATGTACATAAAAAATACAAATATAATGACACTATTTAGTTGGTATTACTACTCCTCCTTGTGTCGTAAAATTAGTCTTCTATTTAGTTTTTTTATTATCAAATAGGGTTAAATAGAAAACCTTATTACTCCGTATTAAATAGGGTTTTCCTAAAAACAAACATTCAAACTATAAATAACTCAAGAAACCTATGAATTTATTACGCTGTATCATTTTTCACTTAAACAATTAGGGGGTGTATTCAATCACGATTCTGAAAGATTTCGATACATTGTTTAAAGTTTGTTGATTATGTAAAATTCATGGATTATTTTAAGTCTAAGCAGAGTTTGTTAGATTTTAATGTATTTTATCAACAGGATTTTATAGGATTCTGTGTGATTGTTTATAATCCATATATTATTTATACATAAATATGAATTTTTTTATAAAGCTATACATTATTGTAACAAAACTATTGTAACTAGTTATTAAAAATTTTGAGAAGATTATAATAAAATAAAAATAAAGTATATATAATACTCCCTCCGTCCCGGAAAATTCGTCCAGTTTTGACTTTTGAAACTGTTCATCTAAGCACTTTGACTAATCAAATTCTCTCAATGTGTAAGCCTAAATATAGTCATGTGTGATCTTGTTTGATTTGTCTTAATATAAAGATTATTAATATATAATTTCTATAATTTTTTAATATACAAATTACAAGATAAAATGGATTTAAAAAGTGTATTGGATGGTGTGTAAAAATGAAAGTGGACAAATACTCTGGGACGGAGGTAGTAATAACCTTTTTGTCCTAATAGCGATAAAATAGTTACAAAATATTATATACTTTGATAGTTATTTTGACTCCAAAATCAACTAAATCTAGGACTGTAAATAGATAACAAAATATTCGATTACTGTCTGCATCCGTATTCGTTTATATGGAAAATATCCGCATCCGTTAAAGCGGTTATTATCTGTATCCGATTAAGGATATCTGATTGCTAAACGGATACGGATTTGGTAATCACACATCCGATCCGTTTAAGATCCGCTCCGCATTGACATCCGTTTACATAACCATTTATCCGTGTATCTGATCTGTTATATATAGTTTTTTCTATTTTTTTATATTTAAATTTTGTTTCTCTACTAATATCTCAAAGTATAAGATATTTTTATATGCAAAATATATGTGTAGACAGATAAAAATATGTGTAGACATATAAAAATATGTGTATATATGTACTGTGTATATCTTTTTATGACATGAAGTCATCGTAGAATATCAAAAACTATGAAAGAAAATAAGAAAATAATTATCCCATAAAAAATTATACGAAGTAGTTGATTTAATAATATTTTGATTCAGTTTAATCGAAAATTAAAGTATTGTTTAATTTGGTTTAAAAAATTGAAGACGGATACGAATAGTTCCGATATTCGACCGATATCTGACGGATGCGGATACGGTTTTGATTTTCAATAACCGTCAAAATCCGTATCCGAATTCGATATCCGACAAAAATAAACGGATACGGATTTCGTAATGGCACATCCGATCCAATTAATATCTATTTACACCCCTAGCTAAATCTTTTAAGATGTAATTGACAGAAGAAGTCGGTAACTTCGGGTCGGACCAAGACAAAGGGGTTTACCAAGAGAATTAGGAGGTATGAATCTTTTTATTTTTTTTTGAATGGAGTCGTAGAATACTAGAATGACATGGGGATTAATGTCATTGTAGGCCCCTTTATCCAATTACATTTAAGTGTAGCTTTACCAAATATAAAAATTTCATGGAAATGATGTACCTCATGTTCTCATTAACATGTTCATCGTGTTCTACTTGAGGTTTACTCATTTATACAAAATTTCTTCACCTGTGATTGCGAAAGGATAAAGATGAAAAGTGAAGCAGGCCTAAAAATGTAAAAAACAAATGAGGTTAGACTTGTACAAAATTTGAGTGTTATATTTTTAGCAGAGCACTCATGTATTAGAGTTAGTGCTAACTTTAATTGTTAATAACCACTTTTATAACAATTTGAACATTAAAAAATAAACTTATACTTTGTATTAAATTTAAAAACATCAAGTAATTACAATATTACATCTAACACTAACAAGTAACAATATTATCCCTAAAAGTTTGAAGGTCTTGTGTATGTACAAACATTGCACACCTTTCAGCCGCCTATGTAAAAAATAAATAAATATTAAAACGAGTGAATATTAAAATCAAAATTCAAGCAATGCTAAAGCAAAAGCTATTGTTAAACAAGGGCTGTTTACATGGACTAAAAAGTTACCTATTTTATAGGGACTAAAATTATATTTAGGCAACATTTGATTCAACTTTTTTTTCTACTTATTACTTATTCTTATCATAATTAGATCAGATCAGATCATACCTGACAAGACCAGATCAGAAACAATTTTAATTATAATTACAATCAGATCAAAGTCATCAAACGAGACCAAATTAGATCAAATCTTTAAAAAATCAGATCAAATCATGCAAACGGAACGCTACCTTAGCCCTTGTATAAATAAATAAATAAATAAATAAATAAATAAATAAATAAATAAATAAACATCTAATAGATGCATAAATAAATAATATGTTTATAAATTATACTCTATATTATATAAATTACGGAGTATAAGTTATATTAAAAAAAGATGGGTAATGTTTTTGCCTACATTACATGCTTGTGGTGGGACCTTCCTGGACCCCCACTTGCGGCAACACTTTTTGCCCTTTTTTATTGTATAAATTATGCAGAGTATTACTTCCTCCGTCCCACTATATTTGTCCACTTTCATTTTTGCACAACATCCAATACACTTCTTTAATCCATTTTATCTTGTAATTTGTATATTAAAAAATTATAGAAATTATATATTAATAATCTATATGTTAAGACAAATCAAACAAGATCACACATAGTATATTTAGGCTTACAGATTGAGAGAATTTGATGAGTCAAAGTACTTAGATGAACAATTCCAAAAGTCAAAAGTGGACGAATATAGCGGGACGGATGGAGTATATTAACACTATGTTTGGTTCAATAAATTTGAAAGAGAGGAAGAGAAGAGAGAAGTAGAAGGAAAAGAAAATCAAAAGGCAAAACTATAAAGAGGGGGAGAAAACCAAATTCTTCTCATTTTGGTGAGGAAAATAGGAGAAAATCATTTTCTTTTCTTTTCCTCCAAAATCCTTGAACCAAACATAGTGTAAATGTAATTTAATGTGCAAGACCTACTTATGAGCAACTAAGCTTGGCAAACATTTCTTTATGAACAATTAATAGAACCAATTTAAACGACCAACCGAAACAACCAACCACCAATTTTCATACCAGGTATCATCACTAAAGGCTTATACACACAAAATCTGAAGATCTTCACTCTATGATTCATCTGAAAGAAGTGAAGGTTCGATAAAAGTGGTGTAATGTGTGTCCGAACCCGCCAGTCACCCATATAGACACGTTCTAGCAATGCAACCAACACGCAATCTCTTCTCTATCACCCTCCTACTCTAAGGCGCGCCTGATAAATTGCAGAGACGTACATACACTTGGAATAAAAATCACCAACAAAAAGAACGGACGCATGGACAACTAACCCTTAATGATGGGGTGGTGTTGGGTCTACAACGAACTCCGAATCATCATCTTCGTCATCTTCATCACAAGCATCTATCCAGTTATTTGGGTGGTATTGAGAAGCTTGACGTGTAGACTGTGTAGTTTCTGCCCTGCCTGCAAATGACATTAAAAACAATAATTGCTTGTGATAGTTGTTCTCACCATGATTAAAATGTGAATGCTTCAGAGAACTGAAGTGTGACAAACCTTGTGTCTCCTTTGAGTGATGTGCTTCCTTGTCATGGCAGCTAGGCATGTGGTTAAGCAAAAGTGTCTTGAAATTTGGTAACAAAATAGTAGAGAGTAGCCCCGTTTAACTAGGGAACTAACTATTATGTTAATTGTGGAACTCAGATGCGCAAAAGCTCTTAAACCACTGAGATCCACTGTCAAATGGTTTCTGTAAAAGTGGGCAGTAATTTGAACTCAAAACTAAGAGATACTATTTTAAAACTAGAAGGAACATTTCCCACACAAAATTGCAGAGTAACCCTCCCCCCTTTTGGTGGGTGGGGGGAGGGGATTGCAGGATACTCATTAGAACCAGAAGGAACATTTCCCACCGTAGGTCCACCTTTAGAAATATGAACAGAACCAATTCTATGAATTTCTTGTTGCTCAGTAATAGTATGGTTTCTATCTACTCGAGCATGCATACCAGCAGCATTTCCTGGTAAAAATTTGAATCACAAAGAGCAAAAAAAAGTGCACTTTGATTGACACATTGCAAAAGAGCATGGAAATTCACCTGAAAGGTCAGACCAAATTCTGGTATGATCAGATGGAGGCTCAGAATTATTTCCTCTTGACCCATCATGTGTTTGGGCCCCTCTCGACTGATCAACCTGGCGATGCGAAGGGCTCGCTTGATGGGGGGAGTTCACATTATTGATTTGTGACGTAAGCATGGTTGCAAGCACCATTGCAGCATCGAAGTTTGAACCGGAGCCATCATCAAAACCAAACTTGGGTTCCATCAGAACTGGCCTGTACCGTAATTCAGATTTTGATAAACAACGTTTGAAAGGCACTAAGCTTGAAAAACCACATGTGAAAACTTATATATGAATGTGAAACCAAGGTATTATTTCAATTTGCAAATAGTGTGAATGATTTGGACATATTAAGACTTGCATAACTATTGAGAATAGAAGAAAATGATAGATACCACTCGATATGCTCACAAATGAGCCATCTGTATCAAAAAAGGATCCAATTATTCAAAGAACTGCAGAATTACCTTGGTTCCTCAACATTCGTGTCTCAATACATGACACTGAAGTGCTTGGTGTTATCTAGAATAACTACCAATTATTTTTTGTAAGGAGAAAGATGCACATTTGAAGGATAATTAAGCAGATTGTCAAAAATAAAAGAAACCTTCTCATTGTAATTAATGCAATAGTTAAAGAAACAGAAGGTAATATATCTCACTCGCCAGCCACACTGAAATGGAAGCGCACATCAGCTTCGCAGCCCTCACAGAAAGAAACAAATGCCTGCAACATTAAACAAACCCAGTGACAAGTTATATTAAGCAGAAATGAGAAAGAGTTCTGAAATACATAATACCGAGTATTTTTTTAAAACTCTTTGCAGCAATATTTTGAAAATCGGATGAATTTCATAAGCAGAAAGGCAACTCACGATTTAAGAATGTTCATTTATGGCCTAAATAAATAATTTACCACATGAACTATCCAGGTACCTTAAAATCTTTCACTCCAAATGTCACGTCTACTGGATTTCCTGTGTGGTTATACTGCAAAAACTCTTCTGTGGGATCTATCCATAACTGTGTGTGCAATGATGAATCATTTTCTGCAAATGAAAGTCTTACACTTCAATGCAGCCATGAGCCAAGGATTTAAGAAGAAAAATAAATAGGTAATTGTTCTTAAATACCTTTTGTTGGGTCTATATAGCTTCTAAGCTCAACGCATTTCCCTCCAATTTCATTTTCAGCATCAGGAGGTAAGGAAGAAGGTTCAGTTGCTATGACTGTTATCTCTTGAAGATATGCCTGAAAATTAGACAACAACCTGTTGAGATCACGAGGCCTCACCACAAAGTTGCTAGGAAGCTTTGTCCTATCCAAGGATAACTGTTGTATGTCAGGTTTAACATTGCAATTGATCCCATAGGCTTTCTTGATACCTGAAAAAGCATATCATGTATTCATGTCAATGTTTAATAGTTCGAGATAATAGAAGCAATAAAAGATAAATGGTTCAAAACACTCAATGTGATATGTGTACATTAGCTAGTGACAATATCTTTGAGTCGAAGGTTTGAGACACAAAAAGTTTCCTTTACAAACCCCTCCTCAGTAATAAATCACAGTGCAAATTCGAAAACCATATGTTTCCAAATCAAATCGGTCATAAAAGGCTTGTTGAATTATTACGTACCAGCTCTATAGCACCATAAAGAAGTTCATTTTATTGTTTAAATTTAAATTTCTTTGAGCCTCTAGGAAAACCAGCAACTAAACAAGATGCCATCCGTCTCAACAAGTTTGACACAAGAGAAATTGGCACACAGCTTAAAGAGTAAAGTGGATTTGTGTGGTTGATATTGAATATGTAAAAGAAGAGAATCAAGAGATGATTTCAAACCACACACATATGCCCATACACGAAGCATACAAGTCAACAACAACCTAAGCAGCAGAATCCCACAAAGTGTAACCGGGTGGGTATATGCAGGCCGTACTACTACCTAAAGAGGTAGAGGGTTGTTTCCAAAAGACTCCCAGGTCAAAAGAATGTAACGAATTCAAAGAAATAAATATGAATAAATACAGAGCAAAAGTAAGGCTAAATCAAATATGATAGATGAAAATAATGAATAACACGCATCCCATAACACAAGGCTACAGCAGACACTCTTGAAGCTACATTAAAGACACCCCACAAAACTAAAACTACATCCTACAACCCAAGTCAACTGGGAAACCAAGCCCTGCTACTTTACCCCCCGACCTCCAAGCTCTATTGTTGAAGATCATGTCCTCGGTGAGCTGCAGAAGCATCATGTACTGCCTAATCACCTCATCCCAAATTTTCTTCGGCCTTCTCCTTCCTCTCCCCGAACTCCCTATGACCAGCCTATCGTGCCTCCTCACATGGTGTCAGCGCTCCGTTTCTACATGTGACTGAAAAACCTTAACCTCGATTCACACATCTTATCTTTCATGTGCGCCACTCCCGCCTTGTTCCAAATTTTCTCATTTTGGGATGAGCCAAATGGGAAGAATGGGACAAACATAGTGATACATTGAGGGACTACAAAACATCAGAAAAGAAAGATCTAACACACAAATAAAATCATAGCCAAATGAGTTTCATGTCTTGTCCACATGCATTCGACTAATGTTATCCTTTTGTAACTATACTATTTCTCTTTAGTTACAGTTCATCTCTTAAGCATAGGAAAAGCAGCAAAAAATGCAGGAAAGAATATATATACAAAAGCCTTCAAGTTAAAAAGACCACTACCATTGTAACAGTCTAAAGTCCACAGCACCTTAGATGCATCAGGATGAGGTAATGACACACTCAAATGGTCGATACTAGCAAATGGTGTTCTTAACACGGAACAAACCGCCTGCACCATTTTAAGTAAATCTTATCACAGCAATCCTATTTGTATAATAACTATAAAACATCAAACATGCCTGTAAAAAATGAAACATGCCTGTAAAAGCTTATACCTTCAACAGAACACTACATTTCACCTGGTCAGCTGGAACTGTGTATACATTGAAAAAATCGGGTTTAAATGTGATGGACAGATGAGCAGTCCTTGACGCATTTAGAGTGAGAAGAGTAAGCTGCCAAATGGAATGTTATTCAAATAAATAATTTTCAAATCCAATGCAATAATATTGTTGGTAACATATATTCCTTCCGTCCCAAAATAAAAATCACACTCTCCTTTTTTGGTTTTACATTTCTCATTTTTCTATTTAGGAGTGAAATTTATGGATCACAAACTTTCTTTTTAAACTCTGTGAAATCAAATATCAAAGTTTCTTTTGGGGTGGAGGGAGTACTTATATACCCAACTCCAAGTTCGGAAATTTGGCCAGATAAAAAATACTTGCATATAAATAGGAATAAATGGCTGCTGAGAGTTACTGTCAAAAACAAAATCACTGCTTAGAGAACACCTATTCATACATTCTGACATATGGCTATAGCACAACCGTGATGCTCCGGTATTGCGAATGAAAATGTTGAGCGACAACTATACAAAGTACTATAAGTTCTTAAGCCCTATATTATACATCTAGATGGTGCTTATTGTACATCCGGAGTATACTCATTTACAAATTACTCGTAAATAATACTCATTTTGCTCATCTACTTCTTTGCATATACCTAGAATATGTACATTAGCACATCATGAAATTGATGTATGCACATTTAATAATTGCATAATTTTAGATTTTCAAAAATAAATTTTCATTTCGATGCTAATACCATTTCCAATCAATGAAAGAATAAAAACGAAACCCTGAAAATGAAATCGTAAAAAAGCATACGTTTATTTCTTTTATTCCCAGAACGTTCAGATTATAAAATTAGTGTATGCGCATTTACGAGTTATGTAATACTCCGCGCACATTAGATGTACATAAAAGTATATAGGTATATACCTCCCAGATGTAGAGAGTACAATTTGCAGTGTACTAAACAGTCTCCAACAAACAATTATTAAATTGTGAACTTACGCTTGGCCTCATCTATTCACTATGCTCTACGAGAATTTATTTACTCAGATCACTACAAACCCTAATTACAAAAAATCGAACAAAACTCTTCCCCATTCCCAGAACAGTTGAAATTCAAATTTCTCTAGAAAATTCAGATAATTGTATGAGCACATAATGCATAGTCAGCACTGAAAAGTATTTAAAAACAAATAAATCGACGAGGAATGGAAAAAGATGGAAAAACCAGTGAATCGGATGCTTGGATGACGAGTTCGTTGCCTATGCGCGCGAGGCATGTCATGGACCTGGCAAAGGTTTTCAGTTCAATTCCGTTGAGCTTAAATTCCATTTGCGAGTTTGTTCCCACTTTGTTGCCTATGCAAGGTAGCAGTTTGGTGCCGTGAGAGAAAGCTAGAGCCAGAGGAACTAGCGCGGGAAATCTGTAGCTTGGCCCGCCTATGGTGAATATAGAAACTAAAGAGAGGTTCACTTTAATTTTCATACTATTAGAATAAGTTTTGATTTGATGTCATATGTTCTGATTTGGGCTAATCTGATATGATTTGATTTAGGCTAATTTGATATGATTTGATCTGAATGTAATTATGAAAAAAGACCAAGCTAGTAATAAAATATATATATTTCATATCCCTAAAATAAGAATTGAAACATAAACTTCTCTAAATAGAAGTAATTTACTTAATTATTTTAATCTTATCACACACTCTATCATTTCCCGTCAATCTCTTTTTTGCATAGCTCCATCTCCTTCTCTCTTTTCTACATAGCGCCATCATTTTTTTTTATAAAATGTAGAATAATGCTTGGTTCACAAACAAAACGGTCACAAACTTCATAAACTTACTAATTGTGAACTTCAATAAATAAAATTAAATAGTCTAAAATAATTTTAAAATGAAAAGTTAAACCATAAATAGTAAGTTTGTGAAGTTTGTGAATATCCTGTTTCTGAATGTAGCATTGCTCTAAAATGTAAAACAAAAAAAATATATCCCTTAATTCTTAAAAACAACAATAGAGATGTTGTGCCTCTACCTCTCTACGCTTTTGTTAGAAAATGGTATGGGAGAAGAACGCTACAGAGCAACGTTAAAAAGGAATGAGAAGAACAACTTGATAGAGTATCCGCGTATAACGAATTTCTTAGAACGCTTTCAGATCAAATTTATTTTCGGGTATACGAAATACTTTAATCAGATAAGACGTTAATCAAGAACGAGCACTGAAAAATCGTATATCACCCCATACCTACGAGACTCTATTTATAGAGTCGAAAAATCGATGATCAAACATGAACATTTGCATATGAGGCGGACGTTCGCGCGAGAAGATAACGTTTGAAGACGCGAAAGTTCGCTTAAGGAGATTGACGTTCGCGCGAAAGGGTTCTTGCGTTTAGGGTTAATTTGGCGTTTATCCACACATCCAAATCTTTTAACGTTTTGGACTCTGTTCACGAAAATCTAAAAGATTTTCATAAAGAAAAACGTCCAAAATAAAAAAAATTAGACCCCGCCAGGTGCTGACACCCCTTAAACCCCGCTACCCCGGGGCTGCCGCCCCCGGACGACCGCTATGAATTTGTAATATTGTTGAATGAGTGTGCACTCCGTGCCTCCTAACTCATTTGACAACGTCTATTCAAATCTTTGTCTGATCTAAGTAAATCTAATCACACAAAATAGCCGACGACACTAAAATCACTAACAGCTTTTACTCCTTGGATTTGCAACACTAGCCTGTAGCACCAATATTCACATAAGATGTCCGCCGCCGTTGCCAAGTACTCGGTGCTCATGAGGAACGTCATCGTTGGCCGGAGTAGCCTAGTTGCCGGTACACCAACTCACAGCCCCTTTATTCTCCAATCTGAACAACTGCCACCATCGCGCCTGCCGCCACAGTCGTCTAGTTATGCCGGCACCACAATCTGCATGTCAGTGTCTACCAGAGTGTCACATTAACTATCTATACAATGTCAAATAAAAATATATAATGGCAAACATGACAACATATAACGCTACATATGACAATGCATAATGTCATACGTGGGGATGTATAATGATAAACATGACAATGTACAATGTGAACATTTAGATTTAAACAATTGAAAATGACTGGAGCAAAAATCAGCTTAAACAATCGAAAGAGCACGACTGGAAGAATCAAATTCAAAAGAACTTCACAAAAATATTTTTCAAAAAAGCAAAACATTTGAATCTAAAAATACAGTTTAGCTTAAGACAATCAGAAGAGCATAACAGTTGTATCCTTCAATAATTTTTTAGGGTTGATTTTGCTTAACGAGGAATGAATCTCTAGAGTTGTGGAGATGAAACTTTAACATGCGAAAATAATGCATGCTAACCATTTTCAGATTTCGAAAAGAGAGGTGTTGCAGCTTGGGATTAGGGTGTGGCGGTGGCATGCAATTTTAAATTAATCTAACTCTTATTTAGAAGAGTTTAATTTGAACTCATACATTGAAGATATGACCTATGTGTTACTCTTAGTTTGAGTGATTTCTTATGTAGTTATATTTAAAGTTATTTCTCTTCTGATCTTATCTGATTTCAATAAAAATAGGTAGTAAGTAAAATAAATAAATTTAGGGAAACATAGCTTAAGTTTTGATCACATCTGATTTGGTCTGATCAAATTTGATATGAATGTAGTTATATTTAAAATTATTTCTGATCTGATTTGATTCTAATTAAAAAAGATAAGTAATAAGAATAAGTTGAAGAGAACAAGACTTAATACTCCTTCATTCTCGCAAAAAACTTATTGTTTCACTTGACACAAAATTTAAACAAAGTAAAAATGTATGCTTGAAATTCATGCAGAAAACAAATAAAGATTGAAAACCATTTAATTATTTTCATAAAAGACAAGATAACTCTTTTGGAGACGACTCAAAAAAGAAATAAGGAATCAATTTTTGAGATGAAGATAGTACAAAGATGTTAGGGTTTGTGGGTAACAAGAGTGGGCAATGGATAAGACATTTCGTGTCACATTAACTAACATTATTCAACACCTTGAAAAAATAAATATGGAAATTTCCCTGGATATGAGTAGAAAGTATTAAAATATCAAAACAGGAGTCCTAAGTCTTTTAAGACTAAAATAGGAGTATAATGGAAATGTGAGGTAAGAATATGTGTTGGTAGTGTGATAGAAAAGTGATGGAAGTGTTAAATGGCAGTGTGATCGATCACTCAAACGTCAGTGATCTGCGGCAACGCGAATGGCAGTGTGACAATGATATATAGCATGACAATTGTAATGTGATAATGTGGTGAATGTGACAATATAAAAATGATAGTGTCAATTACTATTTTGGTCTAGAAAGAATTAAAACTTGTATTTTAGTATTTTCATTAGGTTTTTAACTCGCGAGTTTTCCCAATTTAAATCCAAAATGGACAATCCAATGAACTATTATTGTCTGGTTTTGATTTTGGCTTTCACTCTATAGAATTGAGCTGAAATAAATAATCTCTATCTTCAAAAATCAAGACTATTCCAAAATTATTGTTTTGATTCATTATTTGTTGGTCAAATTTTTCCTTATTTCTTTACCTATTATTGTTATATATGTATTTTTTTTGCAAATGGTTATCCCACCAATATGGATTTAATGTGTCACAATTTACAATGATAAAAAGTAAAATTACTTCCGATTTAAAAAATTCACAGAGATAAAAAACAAAATCTCTATTTCTACATGGACAAAAAATCTATTCAAAATTAGCTCCAAATTAAAAAAAAAAGGTTAGTAAGATGATCATTTACAAATAAATGTATTTTACGGGGATGACTCCATTAAAAAACAATGAGTAAATTCTATAATTAATCCTTTATTATAGAGGTTTTTTCATATTTAGTCTTCTTTTTTCTGTGCGTATAAGCTGATCAAAACTACTTAATTATAAGCTGTTTTAAGTAATAAGTTAGCAGATAACGTGTGTCTCTGTGTTTATAAGTCCACTTATAAGCTGATTACAAGTCAGAAAATAAGTAAATCTTATTTACTTATTTTAAGCAATTTTTTCGTTTCTTTGTTTTGACCAGAAAACTTACAAAATTATCTATTCACCTATTATGAATATTCCTAAATGACTTATATATCATTTAATTCATTTATCTATACGAAAGAACTTTAACTTATAAACAACTTATATGAACAACTTCTTATAAGCAATAAGTCAATAAATATCGGCACAGAAAAACCTCATTTAAAATTTTGTTATTCAAAAGAGACTTAAAGAAATATACCGATATTTTAACGTTTGACATTGACACAAAATGTTAGTTCATTTAAAAAATTATACTAACATTTGTTGTCAATGTAAACAATCACACTAGCATCACATTAGCACAAAATGCCGGTGTATGCTTTTGGGTACAAAATATGGTACAAATTTTGGTGTACAAATAACCTAATGAATAAGAAAAGACTTTCAACTTAAATGAAAATGTTCTAACAAATTAAAGATCTTAACGAGCTCCTCAGCCCACGGCCTACCACCATCTCCGACGCCAGACCTCCGCTACTCCAACGGCAGCAGCGCAGCCCCAGACCTTCATCTACACGGGTATACTTTCCAAGTTCAGTTTCATTCTTCATTCTTCAATTGCCGCTCAACTCGTCTGAATCTTCAATCGCCGTTCAACTCCCCTGGATGTTTAAGATTTGCAGCTTATTGTTATTATTATTGATGGAGCTGAAGAAATTTTTATGCATATATGCTATAATTGTGTGAAAAACATCGAACATTTTTGTCTAATTTATTCCAGATTTCAAACTTCATTTTGGGGATGGGGATAAATCCAAAAAAATGAATTTTGTGGTTGGGAATCACAAAATTGGTACCATTGTTGCTATACTCTGCGGTTATTCTCTGCCAATTCAGTCGCAGACCTCCATCTCCATGGAACTATGACAAGTTCTTTTAAAATCTTGCTGATAAAATACATAAAATCTATCCAACTCAATCCATGAATTTCAGATATTCCATGGATTCTAAAAAATCTAGCTTTGTAATATTTGCTGCCCTCTCAAGGATGGTAAATATGGTGTGTTGGAGCTGCTAGAAAAGTACTCCCTTTGTCCCAAAATCATTTACTCTTTAAGCAAAACAGAGTAAAATTTCAAGTTTTTTTAAATTCATTTTATTTAAAGATCCGTATAAATAAAAAATAAAATTTACATATTTAAAAAGTACATCAAAAGTTCTATAAAATAAGAGGTGATAAGAATATTATATTTCATCAAATAGTCAATGAAAATACACAAATAAATAAAAGTTTCCGCAATTTTTAAATAGTAAACTGTGTAAATCATTTTGGGACGGAGAAAGTATTAAGTTTCATGATGGAAAAATTTGCAAAAACAAACAGATCATTTCGTTTTTACCTACATTCCAGTTTCCAAATCAAGTAATTCAGTTCAACTCTTTTATTTACTATCTCATTCCAGAGTTGATTTTAAACACCCTCTTAAGTGGGTATAGTTGGCCGGCCTTTGCTTATAATATTTGTTGATTGGAGTTGGTTCTGTTTACCCTTCCCCTGGAGCCAGGGGGGGATAGAAATTCAACTCTAGCAATTCAACATTTCTAAAACCAATTGAATTTATACTCTAGCTGTTTAGCAAGGCTAGCTCTATTTTGTATGGTGTGTATATGGATGCTCAGTTGAAGAGATGGAGTGATTAGATCTGCAGGTTTTGTTGCAGGAGTTGCAGTTATTTACTCTTTTTAGTTTTTTCGTTTAGCTAAGTCGTATGTTTCATTCTTCTTCTCATATTTATTGCTTGATTAATATATATTCTTTTTTTTTCCATTGTCCAAAACAACAACATTACCCCAATGTCTCAAAGGCTCCTGCCCATTGCGGGGTAAGGGGGGTCGGACCCCTATGTTTAGAACATAGAGTGGTTGTTTCCGGATGACCCATGATGAGCGTTGAGAGTTGCATTGACTAATTGTTACTTCACTATGAATGTTACTTAACTATGAAAAGAAGTTCATACAATTTAAAGAGCCATTTTGCTTTATTCCATCATACCCAAAGCCAAAAAAATATGGAGTAGTAAATCGTTTGCTCCATCGGAGCTAAAAGAGTCATTTTCACAAACTTTTAGCTTCGGATTAATAGTGGACTAGATCAAAATGGTACAATAAACTTCCCTTAGCTTCCTACTTTCTATGAAGTTTTAGGAAGTAAATGCACCAATGCATCAAGGCTCTATTGGAAATATCCTCTCTGTTTTTAAAGGATAATAAAGTTGCATACATCTTGACCCCACTCTGTTTGTTGTTGTTGTTCCATGATTTTCTGGGCTGATTTGATATAGAAAAAATTAACCTTTTGTGCTTTGTGTAGTTTCAGAAGTTGGCTTTTGCTTGGAATTTAATTTGCCAACAAACTTGTTATGTTTCAAGGATTCTAGGGTCTAGTTCTGTATTTTAGCAGTTTTCTACGTGGCTTGCGAGGGAGATCCCCTTTTCCAAATCAGTCCAGATGCACTAATTTTCATTCATTCACACATAATTCCTATAATATTTTTCCATATATCCAATGGTTATCAAGCTTTACAATTCAAGTAGATTTGTAACCTTAGTTTTGGATTTTTTATCCATTAAAAAACCCTTATGCGATGATGTCCATCTCTCACTTGCTCATCTTTTCTTGTATGCGAATAGATCTTGAACACTCAAAATGGCATCTTTTAACTATTTTTAGAATAATTCAAATTGATAGACCAAGTTCACTCATGGATATATATCATGCAAATTCTTTTTTCATTTTAGGACTATACACAGAAGTAACACCACTCCTCGAAAAGGGGGAGACCAACTTGTTTTGACTGTAAGACCAATTAAAAGGGTTATGATTGCTTTGAGTTATGCAGTAATTTTTTTTAAATCAATTCCGGTTAAAAATGATGGCATAAGAGCATGTTAATTAATTGAAGTGCATAATATTTCATTACCGCACTATTTGAAAATTTAACAATTGACACATATATCCGACATGAAAGTTCATAACATGCTAAATATTTTTGTTCTTTAATGTTCCATTGCCTAGTGTTCTAGTTGTGCTTTCTCGGTGCATTTATTTAGCAACAATAACTATATAGTACCATAAAGACCATAGACTTATCAGGTATAAAATATCCAGGAACAATACATACCGGGACATATTTCTTCCATTTCCCTAAGATTTGCACTCATATAAAACTAAAATTCTTAAAAATGTTCAGATATTCGAGAACAATAGAATGAATTTTAAAAATGCTATTTGTGTGCTTTTTTAATCTCAATTCCTAAAATGTTTTTTTTTTGAATTTCAATATTGATAACCCTTATTAGGGAGTATGGCTTTAGAAGGAAAAAAATGGGGAATAAGAGTTAAGAGTTCGTTCAAATTTTTGAAACATTTTCGTAAATTTGGATGCATTGTACAATTAACCCAAATACGAGGGTACCATGTAATGATGTAAATACTGAAAAGTATTATTCTACCAAACAGAAGGTCTAATACCATACGAGTACCATGAAGATTTCACTCTAGTATTTAGGTCTCTAGATATGAATATATAAAATGTATTAAAACTTTACTCCTAAATGTTTTTTGCAGTTGTACATTATGTGATTTCAACCTATTTTATTGTTCTCGCATTACATGTTTCTGGTGTGTTTATGAAGAAATGTGAAGAGAGATGATTTTGAATTCTATGTAGTGGAATCCCCAATTTGTGGCCAAGGTGACGAATGTCATTTATAGGATTAGTCTATGGCTTCTGGATCTGATCGGACTGTTATACTGAAATCAGAGATATATGGCTCACAATAATCTAGGTCCACCGGTCAAGACAGTGGTGACCATGTGTATTCATTCTACGAGGTATGATTATAATTCATTTTGAGCTTGCAATACNCCCTAATATTCATATGATTTTCTCCAATTATATCACTCTATGCTGCCTTTGGTTTTGCTATCTTTTTTTGTGTGAAATGATTAATATACTCTATACACTTCTTTGCAGTTTATTTGTCACTATGTGTTTGAGATTTTGGTTGATGGGATGATTTTAAACTATGTTACAATCGTTGTAATAGCTTTTAGTTTTGTATTTTAGCTCAGGTGAACTAATCCACCTTCATTGACGGGCTAGATTAGTTTATAATCTTGTTTCTCTAAAGCAATAATGTATTAATGTGAAAAGCGGGCATCAAATGTTGTGGTTCTTTCAGGAGATTTTATGCAACATCAAATGTTGCATATGCTGAATCAAGAGATATATTGACTACATGGAATGACAAAGATCAGCTAACACAAGGAACACATGGCTTGAGTACTATGGTTATTAACTCTCAGTTGAAGGATCTGATCAATAAAGGACATCTTTGGAATGCTCGTGAGATGTTTGATAGAATGCCACATAGAGATGAAGTCTCGTGGACCAACATGATTGCTGGTTATGTCAATGCTTCTTATTCGCTTGAAGCATTATCTTTGTTTCATGATATGTGGGCCTATCCGAATATTCATATGGACCCATTCATACTTAGTCTTGTACTAAAGGCATGCGGGATCAGCGCACATGTTAAGTATGGAGAACTTGTTCACGGATATGCTGTAAAAAGTGGTCTTGTGAATTCTGTTTTTGTGGGAAGCTCACTTCTTAATATGTATATGAAATTGGGAAATGTTTGGGAAGGTTGCAGACATTTTGATGAGATGCCTAACAAGAACATAGTTTCTTGGACTGCTGTAGTGACTGGACTTGTTCATATGGGCTACAACAACGAGGCATTGATGTATTTCTCTGAAATGTTGGAAGATGGAATAAAATATGATTCATATGCTTATGCCATTGCATTAAAAGCCTGTGCTGATATGGAGCATCTGAATTATGGAAGGGAAATTCATGCTCGGATTGTGAAGGAAGGCTACGGCACAGGATCTTATGTGGCTAATAGTCTCTCTACAATGTACAATAAATGTGGGATGACGTATCATGGGATGTGCTTGTTTGAAAAAATGAGTTTGAAAGATGTAGTCTCTTGGACGACTATAATCACAACACATGTCCAGACCGGTCAAGACAAACTGGCAATCCAAGCATTCTTGCGAATGAGGGACTGCAACACGCGTCCTAATGAGTACACCTATGCAGCAATCATTGCTGCTTGTGCTAACCTTGCAAGACTTGATTGGGGCGAACAACTGCATTCCATTGTATTACATACAGGTTTTGTAGCTTATCCATCTGTGGTAAATTCGGTCATGACAATGTATTCAAAATGTGGGTTGTTAGATTCAGCTTCCACGGTGTTTAATACAATGAACATGAGAGATATTGTTTCTTGGAGCACTATTATTGCAGGATATGCTCAAGCTGGACGTGGTGAGAATGCTTTCAAAGTTCTCTCCTGGATGAGAAGGGATGGAACAAGGCCTACAGAGTTTGCCCTTGCTAGTGTATTGAGTGTTAGCGGAAATATGACATGTCTCTATCAAGGGAAGCAACTACATGCTCATGTCCTTATTATTGGTTTGGATCACACTGCATTGATACATAGTGCTTTGGTAACTATGTACTCAAAATGTGGAAGCATCATAGAAGCCTCAAAGATTTTCCGTATGGCGCGTTGCAATGATATTGTCTCATGGACGGCTATGATTACTGGATTTGCTGAACATGGGAAAAGCAGAGAAGCTATTGATTTATTTGACAAAACATCTGAGGCTGGTTTGAAACCGGATTCAGTAACCTTTGTTGGAGTTCTCACCGCCTGTAGCCATGCTGGGTTGGTTGATCTAGGTTTTCATTACTTTAATGCAATGACTAGGGACTACAAGTTAAGTCCTTCGAAAGAACACTACGGGTGCATGATTGATCTTCTTTGCCGAGCTGGACGATTACGTGATGCAGAGAACATGATCAATAACATGCCATATAGAAAGGATGATGTTGTTTGGTCAACTCTTCTTAGGGCTTGCAGAGTACATGGTGATGTTGAACGTGGAAGACGCGCTTCAAAACAGATTCTCGAACTGGATCCGGACTCTGCCGGGGCTCATATCACCCTAGCTAACATATATTCTTCTAAAGGGAAGTGGAGGGAAGCAGCAGAACTGAGGAAACTGATGAGGTCAAAAGGAGTTATCAAAGAGCCCGGGTGGTCTTGTTTGAAACTCAAGGCTGAGATGCATGCATTTGTTGCTGGGGACAAAACACACCCAGAAAGTGAATGCATCTATAACATTCTAGAGTTACTGACTTCAAGAACTGAACTAACTTCCCTGGAAATTGCCTGTCTTATGGATGGCTAGTCAAATCCTGTGCCATTTTATCAATCGAAAGGAGTCAAAAGTTGTGCGTCAAGATTATCTGAACACCAAGTGTAATGGTGACTTAGTGTGGGACCGGATTGATCTATGAAGTCTAGTCCAATCGCAGCAGCGTTGTAGAATGCCTCTTTTTTGCTACCTCTCTGATCATAGGCTGGAATCTATGATTAGACTATATACAAAAGACTCTCTAATGGCAAGCAGTTGTCTGAACTTCTCTCTAGTGGAAAATCTCCCTCAAGAAAATCTTCTTTGAGACTATCAACCAAATATTGTCCATTTACATGCAGCAATGGTTGCAGGCTTTGCTGATTTACCGGGTGAATACACTGGCTCAAGCTTGCTAGAAACCAGAATTAAGAATTTGTGAAAAACCAAGGATGCAGAAAGATAATATGTTTGAAAATCAAAGATCACTTATTATTAGTTCAGATGCCAAGTTCTCACTAGTTCTATTTTGAACAGGATTTAATTGATTACAGGCTTACAGCTGTAACTACAAGTGTCCATTTCTCGGTCAAGCTACAAGTTGCACTTGTTGTGCCCGCAAGAACCCCACGAGTAAGACCACTTTATATCCAAAGATATTGGTTTACAAAGTTTATTGCTTTTGCTTGTAACCTAAGTTGCACGGATATGGAGACGTGGTCAGGAACGGGAAAACACAAACTTTTCTAAAAACTTAAAAAGGATTGGGTGTTGGGATGTTACCCACCAAGTACCCAAACATGAACATTTCGGGAACGGGAAGCGGTTTGAAGAATTCGTGCAACAGTAGTTGTAACTAGTAATTTGTGCATGCATCGTATGGAATATATATAATATAAAAGATAATTATAAATGTTTTAATCTTCCTGTAATAAACAAACAAAGAATTCAAAACTGTGTTTTTAAATTTTTACTGTATTAAGGATAAGAAATTCTGATAAACAACGTTTACAGTATTACACTATAATAATGTATAGATTTTGAAATACTTTTTCATGCACAATATGTGCTGTTAAACTACATCACACATTTTCTTTATCAAATATAATCGTGTTTCATATCCTTGTGATCCGTATCATTTGAGACAAAATACAACTATTGAACAAACAATCCAGTTGAATCCCACAAGAGTAGGGTCTTGGGGGGCATACAACTATTCAACACTAGAAACTAGTTTTCTCAAGAATCGATCAACAAGAAAATGATAGGTCCTGATCATTAGTTGTCTACTAAAATAGTGTTTGTCCACTTTTGACTTTTGAAACTGTTCATCTAAGCACTTTGACTTATCAAATTCTCTCAATGTATAAGCCTAAAAATAGTTATGTGTGATCTTGTTTGATTCGTCTTAACATATAGATTATTAATATATAATTTTTATAATTTTTTAATATACAAATTACAAGATAAAATCGATTAAAGAAGTGCATTGGATGGTGTGCAAAAATGAAAGTGGACAAACACTCAGGGACGGAGGGAGTAATAAATTAAACATCTGTTGAAAATTAATATTGTGTTTAATTACTTCCTCTGTCCAGATTTAGTTGTCCTCTTTAATGTTTTAATTTATCCGAAGTTAGTTCTCCGCTCTCCATATTCAATAAAGAAATTCTAATGAATTGTCTGAAATATCTTAGAGATAATGTATGAGTATTGTTGACATAAAAAGTGGCAATCTCATCTGAAAGGTATATTTGACATTTCAAAATTGTTTTGTAAAAATGAGATGTTTTAGGAGTGGACGACTAGAATTGAACGGGAGTTTATAAAATTTAAAATAAACACCACTTTTTTTTTCAACCTGCTTACATAGTATACTTGTGCTTACTTTCCATTTAATATATATTCATTCTGTTTTACAATATTGGTCCCAATTTTCTTTTTGGTTCGTTTCATATTACTCTTCCTCTTTCCTTTTCTAGTAGTACCCTAATTACCTTTATAAACCTACCACCACACCTTGATTCTTGTTAAAATGGAAATAGAGGGAGTATATTTTACTGTAGCATGCTAAAATTGAAATACTCATTTGCTCCTAACTAATTTGAAGAGTGGCCCATTCTTCAAGCTGAAAATAGAGTAGTCCCAAACCCCTAATCCCTATATGATTTAGAATACTCTGCCCATATTCATTAATTCATATTCTAATTTCTGCAGCCCTGATATAAAATAGCCACGCCTGGGTTCATTGTACTTCTTGAATCTCATTCAGAGCATTCATCAGAAATTTTTTATTCCTGTGGTGGCAATGTAGAACTGCGTCTGAGATCTCAGACTTTCAACTCTAACCCTATCAATGAAAGGACAACCAATCTTTGGGTGTGAATGGTGCCTCTCTTCTGGGCTTGTTAAAGACAGATGCAAACTAATGACAAGGAGCAATGCACTCTATAAGTCAAAGACATTTTAGACAATCACAGAAATAATTACCTGCAGAAATTTGGAGGTATTTTCCTTAATCTTTGTGAGTTTTCATTACCTAGACCTGATTATTATGGTGATCTATAAACATCTTCCTGTGAAGTTAGGTAATTCAGAAATACCCCGGTCTACAAAGCTACTCACAATGACAATGCAATATATCCTAAAATGTGATGAATATATGATATGTTAACATGTCTCAGATGGTCTTGCCCAAAAAATTACATTTTTTTTCAAGTTTAGGAAATGATATGCTGTACCAGGTTCTCAGGAGAGCTATTATAATGTTTCTTATCCAAGATCATGCTGTTTATTTTGATGTCTGTATATCTGTGATTGATTTTTGCTAAAGAAATCAGTTCTTGAGTTTTATAGATCCTTTTTATTATTCCCCATACAATAATGGTCATGATCTTGACGATTATATATCCACATTTTTGAAAGGTATTAAACAATTTGAAAAATGACAAAAGTTAAGCCTGTCCTTGAACATTATGGTTATATCTGAGTTTGTCGTTTGCCAAGTTGCATGGAGAAGGGGACGGATATGTCAAAGAACCGATTCAACCAAAAGCTCAAGCTTGTAGTTGTGGTACATGAAGAGTTATTTATACTCTAACATGCCCCCTCACGTGCGGGCGTAGTTTTTTTTCTAGTCTTGCACGTGAAACTTTAAATTTTTTTTAAATTGGGTGGCGCTGAGTTTCGAACTCGTGACCTCTTAGTCAACAAGGCTCCGATACCATGTCAAGGAACCGATTCAACCAAAAGCTCAAGCTTGTGGTTATGGTCCATGAAAAGTTATTTATAGTTTATACTGGATACTCAAATGGAGATTTGGTCGGGAACTGGTAATTTTTCTTTTTGAAGGATTTGAATGTGGGTCCCCAAGTACTCAAATGGAGATGTTTCAGTGATGGTAAGAAGAATCCTTGCAACTTATGTTGATTGGTACTCCTTGTCTCAATTTAATCATTTAATCTTCTCACATTCTTTTCTTAGACGTCCCAAATTAATTTTCTCATTTCCTAATTTGGCATGCCAAACTAATGTAAAATGTGCAAAACACTCTTTCTTGATTTTAACCCCTCCCTGCCCAAGTTCATGGATTCAAATCGATCTACAAATGCTCTAAACCCAAACCTAGTCTTCTATTCATCCTTGAGACACCATGTTGCACGAATTCTTTGAACACATGTTGCTTTCTATCCCAGAAACGTCCCCGTTTCTGGGGACATCCCGACACCCAAATTCTTTATAATATTTTGCAAAGTTAGTATGAGTTTGTAGCGTGTTCTCTCTTAAGTCACACATGGAAGAAAATCTTTTCACTCAATCAGCCCTTCAACGCCCATATATGTGATCAGATCTTCTGGGTGCGATGGTGCGAGCATTGTTGCTTTTATAAACATGTGTTGAACCCTAGCATACTTTGAGTTGGAGACCTCAATTATAATACTTCCAAGCCAAAATGGGATTCTCAGGCTTTCTGTTCTTCATCTTCTTCTGAACTCATTATTTTACATTGCAGTCCTTCCCATTGCATGCAGCCTTCATAACGAACAATGAGTTGAACAATCAATCTTTTTTCTACTCTCTAAGCACAAACCTGCTTAAAAGAAGATGTGAAACTGATAAAAGTTATACTCTTCCCTTGTTCTGCAGCCTGCATTCATCTTCGATATGGAATCAATGCCCGCAAACGGGTCCGTAACATTTCCCAGTATGAGACTCCTCTTCCAAGTGTCTTTTTCTTTCTTCTTATTTGTATTTAGAGCTGTCTATATTGACATTGGTAGTCATGGAAAGCATATGATACTGTATATACATAACTTGATCATTATTCATTTATTTGATGCTTCCTTTTTTTAATTAAATACTTCATCCATCTGGATTCAGTTGTCCGCTTTCTTTTTTTATTCGTCTGTTTGGAATTAGTTGTTGACTACTCATATTCAATAAAGAAATCATGCATTGTCTAAGATATCCTAGAGTTAAGGTACATGTGAGCATTGTTGAAATGAATGCCTGATTGAGTGACAAACTTATTTAGAGGATTTATTATTTAATATTTGAACCCATTTCATGAAAATGATTTTTTTAAAAAAAGAATTTGGACAACTACATCTGGATGGAGGCAGCATATTATATTTTTCTATCACTTTATCGGTTTCGAAGATGAATGTAGCCTATGATGAGATGCATGAGATATACAAGAGTTAAAACGGCCAAATAATATGAAAACAAGACCAAGGCTAAGATGGGGATATATACATATTTGACTTCTTGAAATGTTCCTTTATAATTAAATATTATCCCAAATTGATAATTTCTAAATAATTGTTTTCCCGGAATGGAGTTCACGAGCCTACTCGGGATGGATTCGCTCATCTAGTGACCACCCAATTAATTTGAAATGACCATTTGGAGGATTTATTCATAATTTAGATTATATAAAACAGATAACTGCTCTTGGGTACCCCATATTTTGAGAAACTAACTGCCGGGTACCTCATATTTTCAAAATATACTCCGAGGTACCTTCTATTTTGAGAAACTAACTATCGCGTACCTCACATTTTTAAAATATACTCCGAGGTACCCTCTATTTTGAGAAACTATTTATCGGGTACCTCACATTTTTAAAATATACTCCAGGATATCTCCAAATATACATTAATTTTACGCCATTAATTTTAAGAAATAGGGGTTTGGAATTTTAAAAAAACCAAGATCTTTTTAATTTGAAGAAAATTGAGTACTCAATTTTAAAAGTATTGAGTACAATTTTCTTCAAATTAAAAAGATCTTGGTTACTTTTAAAATTCCAAACCCCTATTTCTTAAAATTAATAGCGTAAAATTAATGTATATTTGGAGGTATCCTGTAATATAATTTAAAAATGTGAGGTACCCGATAGTTAATTTCTCAAAATAGAGAGTACCTCGGAGTATATTTTAAAAATGTGAGGTACCCGATAGTTAGTTTCTCAAAATAGAAGGTACCTCGGAGTATATTTTGAAAATGTGAGGTACCTGGCAGTTAGTTTCTCAAAATATGGGGTACCTAGGAGCAGTTTTTTGTATATAAAATACAAAAATACTCTCTATTTAACTGTCATTTAATAAACATTTTTAACAGCGGACTACTACTCCCTAGTTGATCGAGAATCATTTGCAAAACAAGTTCTTTCTATATCCGTAAGCAAAACACTTTGGGTCATATGGGCACATTCTTGCCTGAACAGCGAACCTTTATAAGAGAACCAACAACGGCATTCCAAAACACTGCCACGCCTTGCCACATCAGCATGTGGTAACGAGGCGCGAGGCACTTCCCAGGCGTTCCACCCCGCTCCCCGTTCCATCCTCGAGGCATTTTTTCTGATTTTTTATTTTTTTTTCTCATTTTTTGAGAAGGAAGAATAGTTTTTTTATAAGTGAGCTTGGAGAGCAGATCTGGAAGAAAAGATAGGAGGTGCGACTAGGGGAGAGAAAGATTGGTGGATGGCAGGGCTGAGAGGATATTTTTTTGGGATTTTTTCTTCTTTGATTATTTATTTTTATTTTCTTTAATTAAGAACAACAACAAAACAACCCAGTTAAATCCCACAAGAGTAGGGTCTGGGGAGGGTGTGTGTACGCAGACCTTGCCTCTACTCGAAAGTAGAGAGGCTGTTTCCAAAGAGACCCCCGGCTCAACGTCGAAAGTTGCATTGCTTGACTAACTGCTACTTATTAATTAAAGAAGCGCAGATAGTTTAGAGATCCATTTTGATTTATTCCATCACACCTCAAAGCCAAAAAATGGTGAAATTTTAGCTCCATCAGAGATGATGGAAAATTTTCTTTAATTAAGATTTTAGAATTATTAAATTCAATAACTACGGAGTATGAATTTAGATATCAAATAGTTCGTATTGAATTTAAAAAGGTAGTAAAATTGTTTTTCTAATAAAAAATATGACTAAAACAATTTTTAATAAAGAAAGTAAATTACAAAAGAACAAACACAATGACTTGCCAATGTACAACATTCCACTCCACTCACTTGCCATTGTATGACTGGATTGTTTTTGATTGGTTGAAAAAAGTCATGTCAGCGTGTGACATTTTATTTTTAACTTGCCATTATTCATGCTCTAAAAGCTAATGGTGTGTTTGGTGAGCAAACAAGATATGAGTTTTGATATCTCTGGGTATCAGAATTTTTTTTGGATGTTTGGTGAAGCAAAAAAAGATATTGAATTCGATATCTGCAGATATCAATGATAAATCCTTCAAATGAAGGATTTCGATATCTCTCAAATTTGGGAGATATCAACATGGGGGTTTGATGTCTCTCTCAACCACTGGCCATTCTCCGTCATCAGCTACCATTGTCACTCTCATTCACCCCAGTTGTGGTCACCGTCACTTATCACTAATTAAATCTTAATTTTAAATCTCTCCAAACAAATTCGTTTCAGATTTCAAAACTTATTTCAATTTTATCTGATTTCATAACTCATATTTTATCATATCTCCAAAACTCACCAAACAGATTCTAAATAGAATTTATGTATTACCAGTTTTTTTAACTTAAAAATAAAAATAAGTAAAAATTCATGCCACGCCACCAATAAAAAGTTTAAGGTTAATGCTTTCTTCGTCCCTAGTGGAAGTCCATATCCACGATTCAAAATAAAATAGTTCCTCCGCCTAGATTTATTTATTTTTTCGTCAAATTTTATAAACTTTGACCTAAATTTACTAAAAAATGTTGTGTGTTTTGATATACATATAATATTAGTAGTTGTTATAAACATGTTTTGAAATATTTAGTTTTTATAAAATATATATATGTATAAATACTAATATAATGGTAAAAGCGGACAAAGAAAGTATAATTTAATTTTCATCTCTTTTTAAAATTTTTGATATACTTTTTTTATAAATATAAGTCATACGGAGTACTTATTTCTATAGTACTTTTTAAATAAAATAAATTAAAAAATATTCCCTTTGTCCTAAAACGTTTTTCCCATTAATGTTTACGAGATTTGGCCGAATTTATTTTTTAATTCATAAGGTTTGACCGAGTTTATTTTTCAATTCAAGTTAATGATTGTAGATGTAAAATTAACAAATAAAAATGATATAGTAAAAAATTACATTAAAAATTCTACAAAATAAGATATTAAAAGACTATATTATTTTATCAAATAACTAACAAAAATAAGTAAAAAATAATTAAAATTTAACCGTCTGAATATTAACTGAGAAGAATATTTTTAGGACGGAGGGACTCCGTAATACATTTCATTTTCAATCCTTTGAATTAAAGAGAGAGATGGAACGTATGATTTTGAATTGGGCTGGTTGATAAATGGGCTCCGGCACAAAAACTAGGTTTCAGCCCAACCCAATGCTCCAAACTATATAGGGTTCCCTGCTCTGGCCTTTCCTCCCAGCCGCACCGTTCTTCCTCATCTCCCACCCATCCACCAGGTACTTCGAGTTTCTCTTCGCATTTAGCTTCTCAATACACAAATATAAATAGATTTAAGCTATTGAAATGTTCTCTATATTGCTATTTTTTCTGTATTATTGCAGTTTTCTTGAAGACGAGGGATTTGAGCATTCGTTTCCGGAAAATTTTGCGAAGATGATGAACGAGGAGGGAAAAAATATGGATCTCTACATTCCAAGGAAGTGGTATGATCTTAAATCACAACCTCTTTATCTTCAAGATTGTGCTTTTTCAGTGCATTTGTTCTTTTCACTGGGGGTGTCAGTTTTCGGATTCATTTATACCATTTATGCCTTTTTTCACTAAATTCCTGCTCTGGGTTTATTGGTACTGTAACGATAATCAAGTATTTCTGCTCGAAAAATAAACTAAAGCAAAAGTTATTTTGTAATTTTGAAAGTTTTTATTGAATTTCTGTTCATAATTTTCGTTCTGCAAAAAAAAAAGTTTAAAGTGAAACTTTTTATCATGTGTATCAATTGCCCATGTATTTATTGCAAGGCCATTTTAAGTTTGTGTTTGATTTTAGAGAGAAGGTATTGAGAAGAATTTTCATTGCAATGCGATTTTTAATTTGTTGTAAATTTTGAAAATAAAAAGCAGCAAAGGGAAAGTTTTTGCAAACAGGATTTCAAATTTGTTTTTGCAGATGACTTGCTGTTTCTTCAATCAGAATCTTGCACATTAGATTTCCATGATAAATTTCTCACAAATAAGATTTCAATGGTCAACAATCACCCTCTTTAATAACGAAAAATTTGGGAAATCTGATCAAGATAAGATTTTCTAATTCAACAGGATAAATGTATATGAGTACAAAATAAAAATATTAACTAAGTATTTGAACTCAAAGAATTGACCAAGTTTGGTCATGATGCAGCTCTGCCACGAACAGGCTGATCACTTCTAAGGACCATGCATCTGTTCAAATCAATATTGGGCATTTAAATGAGCAAGGTCTGTATGTTGGGGCCCAGACCACCTATGCCTTGTGTGGATCTGTGCGTTCTCAGGTGAGTTCTTGTTAGGGTGGCAAACATATTTGTATTAATGTCTTGTAGTTTTCTTCTTATGGAGTATTTCCCATGGTGGGTTTAGGTCCGTTTCATAATAGGCACAAACACAAGTTTTTGATGTGGTGTTTTTAGAGTTGGAAAATGGTATCGTGGAGCGTGTTTCAATCATGGTCCTAATCATCATTGTGATAGTTGATTTTTTTGTGTATTTACTTTATTTGATTTGATACCAATGTGTTTTTGAGAAAATATTATTCAAGAAAAATGTTTTTGGAAAATGGTAACAAAGCAAACAATAAGCATTTACTAATACACCCGCATGGTAACTGCATATATGTTGCATGATATTTGCTTTCTTAACATGTTTATAGCCCTACCATACCACAAGTATTTGATTCTTCACTTGCATTGAATTTAAAACATTATTAATCATGATTTAACTGTCTCTCCATAGGCAAAGGCGACCCCTCTACATGTGTATAACATAAGAACAAATCTGTCTGTAATGGACTGGGTTCATAACCGGACTAAAGGGAAAAAAGTACTAGTCATTTCTGATAACAGCAACTCATTAGTAAATTACAAACTATATCAAAATGCTGACTCCAAAGTTTTTCCATTTTTATGTTAATAAGAAAAATGTCGATAGTGACTTGAAGTCTTATATGTTTTTAGAATTGAAACTTAAAAGCTTGTGCTTGTTTGTATGTACTTGCAGGGAGATGTGGACAGTGCCATAGACAGGCTCTGGCAGAAGACCAAAGCTGAAATCAACCAGCAGTAGTGTGATCTCTCAAATTTGAGCTTCCCATTAACTTGCATGGTTCATCTGTGCTTTTATTTTATTAGTTAAAACTTCAAAATTTGAGACGATCAAACTATTTTCCTGTTATATTTTGTTTTGACATATTGTTGTGCAAGTGATGACATTGTTGTCCTCGATGCGTTTGCAGTGTTGAACACCTTTCGAAATTGTTTTTTTGAAGCAGAGTAAGTCGTTTTGGTCATCAATTTAGAAAAAAAACTCAACCAGTTAGCCATTCACTTGTTATAAAGTATGAAGTAGTAAGGAATTTTGCATCTCCCTAGTTTTAATATATACTGTTGCATCATTCTGAGCCTTTTTGTATATGATTACTTTTTGAGCATATATCATTTGGTAACACTCTTCAGAAACATCTGCCTTTTAAGTCCCACAAGACATTTTTTACTCACACGATCGCTTATGGGTGTTTTGGTGACATTTCATCGAGCTCTGTCAAGCTTGCTTTAACATATAGTTTTAGGGGCTGTTTGGCAACTTCTGAATGGGTAAGTGCTGAATCAGAACGATGTCTCAACCATTAAGTGTCGAACCAGTAAGAGGTCTGAACCAGAGGTAGTATATTGCTTAACTATTTAGAGGCAAATGTCTGATCAATTCAGATAAGACATTAATCATTCAGACTCTGTATAATATTTAACCATTCAGAGGCAAATCTCTTAACCATTCAGACTTCTGAACCATTAAGAGGCTGAAACAAACAGTCTGAACCATTAAGTGCTGAATCATTCAGACATCTGAATCATTAAGAGGCTGAAACAAATAGCCCCTTAGTCTCCTTCACCACTATCATTCATTCTTCCCATTTCCGTTCCCTTCCGGACAAGAGTTTTCTTCTAAGGCTATGGCAAAGGTCATCACCAGATGGGCTCTAGCATGGCTCAAATTCCTCAGAACCTCGAGTTGATTTCGGTGGATCCAGCCAGGTGAAGCTCACTAGAGCCGCCTGCTTCTCTCTAAGTCGAAGCCCACCACAACTGTTATCTTTCTTCATGCTGCCACTGCTTTTTTCCTAATAGACCAGAAAGCCAAAGATTTGTATCTGTCTTTAGGGGAGTTGAGTTTCTGTTGAGAATCAGGAATGAATCTGAGAGTTTGGGTCAAGTTTAAGTTGCTCTGAATGAGTTTCAGAGGGCTTCGTACCTTATCTTGCAGGTGACGGATCCGCTTGGTACGTAGTGGGTTTAGTTCGCCCCGCCAAAATGGCTCCGAAACAAACAAAAAGGTAGTATTAATATCATTTGTGGGTGCGGCTAACTCCCCGTGAGGCAATTTTAATATTTTCCACGGTAAAAGAACCCCTGACCAATTTGAAACAAAAATAAAACGAAATGAGTTTCACTATGTTGTCTCTGACACGATATTCAATCTTATTATATTTTCAATCTTATTATATGATGTATGATGGATAAATATCCCCGTGAAACTCATTCCACGAAAAACCGAGTCCTCTTCGAGCGACTTCGCGATAACAAGAAATAGAAATGAATCGTTCGATGTCTGCTCGTTCTCCCCTCTTCAATTCCCAATGAACAACATAGGAAAAGCATCTACTAGCTGTTTTCATTTCCATTTGAGGATCCCAGCAACTTTTGTGAGATTTAACTGGGTTGTTGTTGTTGTATCCCAGCAATAGAAACTGGAATTTTTTAATAAATATCTGTTCGTAAGATAAAAGGACACAACCCCGTCTATGAATTTCCACATTTATATAGAAATATTCAAAGAGACAATATTCAGAAAGGGAGAAGGATTAGGGGCAATTTTGGAAAGTCAAAGCTTTTTTTACCATCCTTTAAAAATGTTCCCTGATCAAACCGTGAAGTTAAATTTAGGACGGAGAGAGTATAACTTCATAATTTTTTTAAATTCTACAGAGTATAATTGTAAATTTAAATTCTACACTAATTTTTAATAAATTGAATTGAAATATTGTAAACTGCAACCGGTAACTTAAATTACAGAGTAATTCGGGTGCAAGAAAGAAATATGAAATGCATAAATCTCTTTTGTTCTTAGTAACGAACACAGCTGGCTAGAAAGTCACCTAAGATACATAACAATTCTTGTTCTTTGCAAACAAACAGAGCTTATAAAGAAATACCTAGTACAACAAAGTATTTTTTTGATGAATCTGTCTCACATTGGAAGCAAATCTCTTGCAATTCTACCATTAGCTCCCTCTGGGTAAAACCCGCCGGGGATGTGTTCATCGCCGGTGTTGTATACAATCCTCAGGATTTCCGCCGGAGTCCTCTTGTACGACAACGATTCGGCATCCTCAGAAAGAACATTGCCGGTTGTCCGGTTTTCGGCTCCCAACACTGGAGGGACGAAAAGCCCCTCGTCCTTCACCCCGCAGCCCGCCAGCCGGTTTCTCAGCATCGAAACGCGGATGGTGAAATCGGCCACGGTGTGGCGATACGGGAAAATGACGCGCGTTGCCCTCTCGTAGAGGTACGTTCTTATCACCGCGTCCTGCCCTGCTTCTGTTCCTAGCAGTCCTGCAAGCAACTGACAAAAGAGAGATTCTTAAAAAAAGTTTCACGAGCGCTACCTTTGACACCACCTTTGACACCAAATCCAAACCAAGGCTTTGTTTGGAAACAACATTTTTATTTAGCATTAGCGTTTTGGATAAAATTTTGAACTCTAAATCGGTTATCGAACATACCCAAAGAAATTGTGTTCCTGTGAATTAGGGAAGAGTAATGATAATTTTAACTCAGGAATGCCACTAATAAGTTTGACACATTTGGGGACAATTACGCACAAAGAGTACGTCATTGTATATGAGATGTCGGTGGTGTCAATCTTGGTGTTATCTGTGATGCGATTGTAGCACATATACGAGTATGACGACAAATGCATTTGGAAAGGGAAAGAATGTTATTGAGACTTATAATTACCCTTTTTGTGATATAGCCCTTGATGAGAGGGTTTGCACCAACATAGCCAACCATTCCAACATAGGGAATCACATAAGAAGCCATCATGTAGCTTAGGCTGTCCCTATAGGGATCAAATGGGGGCTCCAGTTTACAACCAAATGCTTCATCAAATAACTGAGCAAAGCTATTTGCACTCAGGTCCATCAATGGCCTCTTGAACAATCCTACCCTTGACTTTAGTGCCCTACAAAAACGCCACGTTTGAATTGTCACAAAGATTTTAAAAAAAATACTCCCTCCGTCCCCAAATAAACTTTCCCTTCTTTTTTCTTTGTCCCCAAAAAAACTTCTCTTTTCTATTAAAAAACCACTTTTACCCCTTACTTTTTCATACCCTATCTATCACATCATACCTTTTTACTAATAATCTACATATCACATCTTACTTTTACACATCACATCACGGGTATTTTTAAAAAGTCAACACCAAAATATCTCTCCCTTAATTTCCCAAAAAGTCAAACAGGGAAGTTTATTTAGGGACGAAGAGGGTAAAATTGTATGGTTGAGAGTGGTGCATATGAGATGACCGATTTAGCAAACCTTAGATGACCGATTTCCTGGTTACAAAACTCTCTAATGATGCTACGCGTGAGGAAATCGAGATTGGCTCTCCGCACGCCCGTGGGGGGTGGGCCACCGTTGGCGAGCTCAGGGTCAAGAATGTCGAGGCCATAGCCGTAAGCGGCCCAACAGAAGAACTCGGCTTCCAAGAACTCCAAATTCCCCGAAAACTGCATCAAGTCGATGTCCTCTTTGTACACCGCGGTCGAGCTGTTCGGATACCCAGACGGGCACATTGGGTTGGAGAGGGTGACCATAAACTTTATTGAGATCAAGATCATACAAATGGCAATAGTTGTGTTTGATATGGTCATGCCCATTTTTGGCCCAAGTTTTTGGAGAATATATATTTTGGTAATGAACTTTGAAGAGGATGGTGCATTTTATATACACATACACATTTATAGACGTAAATTAAAAAAATAGGTCACATAATATTGCGGCCATAGCTTAATCAAGTAGTTTTCACTATCACACCTAACCTTAACCAAATGATACGTGAGTAAAACATTGTGAAACTCTACCAATATTGTAAACGTCACATCCATTGCATGGAAGTACTTATAGCTTAATTTTTGTTTTGGATGAGGTTAAGAAATGTAAAGTACAACTTTGGTTTAATCTTACTATATTTGTTAAACAAACTTATCACTTTTTTTTGGAAAAAATGTTGTCTTTTTTATCTCTCTCGTAAGGACATAGTGATATTAGATTTATGGTGACACTGGTAACACCGATTCCATTTAGGACCCATGATGCTTCATACATTCGTAAATTTAATGATTTTTAAACTTCTAAGAGCAGTGGCAATACTCCTAACGCCCAGCGGCGTTAGGAAGCATTTGACGCCTGGGGGGCGTTAAACACCGCCCCCCTCCTCCGTTATACCTGAGTGCATTTTGATGCCTTCTTTTTCTTCCCCCCCTCTTTTTTCCTCTTTTCTTCTCCATAAATTAAATTTAACACAAATACAAATTTTTCTCTATCTATCATCTTTTTAAAAAAAATTATTATTCAAGTATTTTTTATTTTGTCATGAATATAATTTTTTTATTAAATGAAAGTAATTTTTTTATTTAATGAATGTAGTTTTTTATAATGAATGTAATTTTTTTATTTAATGAATGTAATTTTTTATAATGAATGTTTTTTAACGAACTATTGTCGTTTCAATTCTTTTAAATAATTAAATAATTAAAATTTAATAATTTAATTTTAGAAGATGTGTATTTAAAATGTAAAAAATGAACGTTTGAAGCCCCAGGGCTTCAAACCCATTTTCCACTGAAACTGTGAGGTAAGTTAAAGCTGACGTGGCAGAGAGAAGGTATGAAGCCCCGATTTGAAGCCCCAAGGCTTCATGGGTATTTCCAGTGCCCTAACAAGTTCCTAACCCCCTCCCTCCACCCAACCACCGACTAGAATATTATTGGCTGCCAATCGGCAATCTAGGGGAGGCCCAAGGAAGTTGGGGTGGGGGGATAGAGGGAGATTTTTAAAACGGAGTACTATATGTGCCCAGAAAGGAAGTGATACCATAGTGTCAAGCATACGTCGTTTTTGTCAACGGAACCACTCCGCTTTCTTCCTGGATACTTTATATACAAACAAATTTTATTAAATTTCTTTTTCTATTTTTATTAGTCACTTGATAAAATAAAGTGCTTATATCATCTCTTTTTATTGAACTTTTAGTGCATTATTTAGATATATAAATTTTATTTTTAAATTTTATATTTCTAATCAAATAAAATTAATTGAAAATAATTTCAATCTAACTTTGTAAACTACAAAAAAGTACTTCCTCCATAGCGGTCAACTTTTTTAAACTTTGACTTCAAAAATATTCGTTTTTTCTATAATTTGGAAGAGAAAGCTGCCACAGCCGGACAGTACAAATTTTCTTGGAGTAGTATCGGGGTATCTTACAACGGCTAGATTCTAGAGCCACTCAAAAAGAGTGGCTACGGAAGCCACTCGCTCAATTGGGGCACATACGGTGCTCCGTTAGTAAAGTTGATTGTTCCAACCCTCCCTAACAACCCCCCCCACCCTCCGGTAAACCAACTCATTTCCATGTTTTCCTCTTCTTTATATAAATATATATAAACACACACACACACACACACTACGTCAAAAACAGATGCTGACAACTGTTTCTTTTAGTAGTCTCACGGTGCTGATTTCAGTAGTCTTTAGAGCAGCTGTCTGATATATTTACAGACTATTGTTTAAAAAAAGTTGTGTAAAATGGTTGACGATACCTATTTTGTAATGTTTTAGAGTACGACTTTTTAGTGTTGTCTTTGTATGAGTAAGACATCTGTTTTTTAGAGTTAAAGAGAACTGTGATTTTTTGTTGTCTATCTATAATGAATACTACTGCTGTTTTTAACTTTAGACTTCTAATTCTTGGTGTTGTCGTTCAACAATATAGACATCTACTTTAAAAAGTAATTGAAAGATATATTAGACTGCTGCTCAGAAGACTACTATACAAAAATGCCATCAGACAACTGTTATCTTTTGTTGTATTTCTAGAATATGGACTACTAACATTATTCTTATTCAAACTACTGTTTGTTTTAGTTGTATATTGATTATTAACACAACGGTGTTTTGTAGTTTTAATTGAAGTATTCAAACTATCTTTTATGACAGTAGTTGAATTGTTTATGAGACAGCTACTCTAAAGACTACTAAAGAAATTTGCTTCAGACAACCATTATTTCGCATTGTATTTTAAAAATATGAACTAGTGTTTTTGCAGTATTTCAAACAACGGTTTGTTTTGATCGTCTAAATGTTATTAATACTACGAGTTTGTGTAGTTGTACATATACTCTTCAAACTATTAGTTTGAATGGTAGTTAAATTTTTTATTAGACAACTGTTATCTTGTGTTGATTACCAAATAAATATAAATTCAAAAAATACAATATATTGAACAATATATAAATTCATACATATAAAATACTATTTACATCTAATAATTTAATATTTACATCATCTTCCTTACAATTTGCATATTCTACATGCCTGCCTTTTCAATCCATCCTATTTCTCTGTGGAAAAATCCAATACGAATCCGTATTTCACATCGGCTTTGGCTAGGCGTTCCATGGCGGTGTTGACATAGTCCATTGGCACAATCTCAACATCGGGCATGATGTTATGTTGGCTTGAGTCTCCTTTAATTTATTCCAGCGATGCCACTTCCTGCAATCAATTTTTTGCCTGCGATCCACAATCAAAACATGAAATTAATGTCATTTAGTTCATTTTAGATCAATACCAAGGCGGAGCAGAGATATGTACAACACGTGAATGGAAGTGTGGCTAATATTACATACCCATGATCAAGGGTAACGCCAACAAGTCAAGGGGTTTCTCCGGGAGACCAACCAATACAAGCTTACCATTGGTCTTCAATAAGCTTAGTAGTGGCGTAAGAGGATTGTCAAGGAACCAACTCAACCACAAGCTCAAGCTTTTGGTTGTGGCCCAGGAATGATTGTTATATACTGTAGCACGCCCCCTGCGTGACTTCTTTGAGCCTTGCACGTGAAACCTTAATTTTTTTAAACTGGGTGGCGCTGAGTTTCGAACCCGTGACCTCTTAGTCAACGAGGCTCTGATACCATGATAGAATTTAGAATTGGGAAGAGATAACTGGATTGGGGCAATAAGACACTTGGGTTGAACCATATTAAAAGATTGAATCCAATCGATTAGTTAGTTCAACTCTAAAGCTTATATACCGATTATTTTACTCTTGGATTTCCGTTGTGGGATGTACTCTAACATAGGAAAAGTTAATTGAGGTACATCATATGAGTTAAGGGATGAAATACTTCTTATTAGTTTGGTTGGTAGGACATTGATTGCTCTGGGATTCGTAAAGGAGATCACCTTCAGAGTGTAGCAGCAGTTCCTGCAAATGGATTTTGGTTAACTCTGTTCTCCATATTGATTCATGTAATGTGTTGTGGTGTATTGAGGTGGTTGAATTAGTGGGTATTGGATGTTACCTGGGTCTATGTATTGTAGGATTTCCTCGTAAACAATGTTTGTTGTGGTCGTTGTACTCTTTTCTTGGCTATCTTCGTCGAACATAACCATTTTCACATTTGTTGCCTTCTGTGCTCTTGATAGGGCGACATATAATTGGCCATGGCTAAACACTGGTTCTTTTAGGTAGATTCCAACAGTCTTAAGTGTCTGTCCTTGCGATTTATTTATTGTCATGGCAAAGCACAGTTTCACAGGGAATTGAAATCTCTTAAATGGAATAGGACATTCGTCGTCCCGAGATATCTCGAGTGGTATCCTCGGTATGAAGACATGGTGTCCCTTTTTCCCGCCTATTGCTATTGTGCAACTGAGGATATGGTGTTCGATATCTTTGCAAATGAGTCGGGTGCCATTACACAATCCTTCTGATGGGTTCAAATTCCTAAGTAAAATGATAGGACACCCCCTTTTGAGGATTAACATGTGTGGTGGTAGACCATTGGGTGTGATAGAGTGCAAATAGTCCTCACAATGTAAGTGATTGTTGTTTGTGGGTGTGTCTATACTGTAAGAGTGAATTGGGTTGCCTGGGAATGCTTGTATAAGGGTTGAATTAATTTCATCCACTGTTTGGTTCTTAGGTGTTAGAATGGCAGTGTTTAATTGCTCATATGGGTCATTAATGAATTTGCTCAAGTCTGGAAACACTTCCTTAAGCAATGTAGCTAATGGGGAATGATTTTTTTGTGGGGATACTATGAAGGAGGATGGTATTGGTATTTTATTACCGATTGATTTTGGGATTGTATTGTTGCCAACACAGAGTAGAAATTCACAAAAATATGGGTCCTCATTAGCCCGCATGTTTTGTGTCAATAATATCCTTGTGACATTTTGCCAGATGTGATGGGATTGTACGAACGATGCTGCTATGATGTCTTCCTTAGTGCCTCTCTTAACGACTGGTAAGGTTTGTCTTAGATCTCCCCCAAATACAACAACTTTGCCACCAAAGAGGTTTGTCGTGTCCATTATATCTCTGAGGAGTGCATCGACTGATTCAATGGACTGTTTGTGTGCCATGGTAATTTCATCCCAAATGATAAGTCGACATTCTTTTAGTAGTCTTGCCTCAACAGTGTGTTTCCCAATGTTGCATGTTGGTGTGTCTTGGCCATCTATTGGGATCTTAAAACGAGAGTGTGCTGTTCGTCCTCCGGGTAAGATTGATGCAGCAATTCCAGAGCTTGCAGTTGCTAGTGCTACCCATTTTTGCATTCTTACTGATGCGAGTAGACATTTGTAGAGGAAAGTTTTCCTGGTGCCTCCTGGTCCATCCACGAAGAAGAGTTTTCCCACATTTGAGTTGATTGCTGTCATAATTTCATCATATGCAGTTCTTTGGCCTGCATTTAGTTTGTCAATGGCTTCAATATCAGCTTCATTTAACGGGATATTATATTCTGATGCTATTTCTCTAGCCATTCGTTCTTGTTGGCAGTTGTTCACCTTGTACGACACCAATGAGTAATCGTCTATATTCTTGCCCAAACTGTTCAAGTAGTCACCAATGATTCGAAGACATGTTTTTTCTGCTTCTTTCATGGTAATGGTTTGGTCCTTTGTGATATCTTCACACATATCTGATTTATGTTGATCCCATGACTTTTTTGGATTGGGTACATCACAATAAACGAGTAGTGTTGCAAATAGTCTTCGTAGACTTGATGGCATTTGATAGGTAGTGGCCTCTATCATGCATTCTTCAATGTTGGTTTCATTGAGAAGTAACCCCTACTTCTCCGCAGCCTCCCTAAAGGTTTTGCACATATATCCGTCAACAGCGAGCAAGTCATCGTATGATTTTGGTGAACGGTTGTGCAAAAGTAGGAAGCGAAGATAGTATCGTTCTCCTTCTGTTGGGTTAACCGATGCTAGTCTTCCAACCACGTCTTTGCTTTTTCTTTGGGTCCAAAGTCTTTGTTGGGTGTGCCACAAAAAGTATTCTGGGAATTCAATATAAGAGAGATTTAGTTGTCGTGCAACTTCGTTATAGGTGTTCATGTGGAAGAATTGCGTTAGCATGGTGCGCGTACTTATATCTCCAGCAATGATTTGTTTTACCCTTTGGTTCCCATAGAAGTTGAGATATTGATGGTTTGGCAAATGAACTGGTAGATGTATCACTGCTGGTTTTATCTCTGACATTGTGAACCCATATATTCGCCACATTGCCTCCGGTGGTGAAACCCATCGGCCTTTTTGGAAGTTAGTGATTTCATCGATGACCTCATTTTCAGGTTGTTGGATGTTGAACCCAATTCTATCGTGACCTTTATAGATGTACTTATAAAGGTACTTTACTAACTTCACAGTTGCACATACTTCCAAATTAGCATGACAATCATATTTCATCAATAGGTAGGGGCTATAGGGGACCACGCAACGATTGTCAAGAGTGCAGTTCCTTACATCCACTGTGTTTGTGCTAAGTCGCCTACGGTATATGGGAAAGCAATCTTCATCAAAGTTTGTTTCTTCTGTGTTTGGTTTTGGGTATTTGCTTTTGCACCCTGGTTGTTGATTTAGGGTTTTTCTAACCATGCAAGGGCATTTGGGATTAATCGGTCCGCAAGGCCCATGAATCATGTGTTTCTTCACTCTGGAATATAGTTCTGGATATTGTTTTGAGTCGGGTATCTCGGCGGAAATGATCTTGTCACATTGTGATGCAGAAATAATTTTGTTGTGCCTCTTTAACACTATTAAGAAATGGGCATGTGGCAGGCCCCTCTTCTGGAATTCAATGACATAGGTGTAAGCAGAGACTTCGCCAAAGATCTTCCTTTTGAACAAGTTTGTTTTGAGTTCGTGTATTCGGCCATTGAATATTCGTGCGACTAAGTCGGGTCTGTTTTGTGCTTTGTCAGCATACCGCATCTGGCCAATTGGGGTTGCAAGTAATTGTTAAGAATAAGTCTGGTTTCCCAAACCGTTGCACCAGTGCCATGGCGTCCATGTATCGTCGTCGCATATTGCGTGGTCCTCCAATGAAGCTTAGTGGTAGCACAACTCGTTTCCCAAGTTCTTCACCAAACTCTAGTCCCATCTCAATGCTTTCTACAACATCATTTAGTGTACTTGTACGCTTGTTTTTTTGCTTGTTGCGAAAGTAGTCCAAGCGTTGTGTTTCCAATTTCACATACATATCAACCACGAATTGCTGTAGTAGTCTCCCTGTGTGTAGTAGGAATGACTCATTGTTCGGCCGCATTTGTAGTTTGTATGCATAATACTCGCGGCATGAAACTGTGTTTTTCTTTTCCTGACCATTGTTGAATTGTTCTTCTTCAGCTTCAATGAGGTATGTGACGCTTCCAATATTAGTGGATGTGATATTTATGTTTATGGAGGCTTCGTTTGTCACTGTGGAGAGATTACAAGATACTTTCTCTATGCCTTCATGCCACCCCATTTCGCCATAGGGGAATAACAATGGATACTGCAGGGGGTCATAGCAGCTGTAATAATATTGAATGGTTTGTGAACGGCCACCTTTTGCATAGACCCGAATATGCCTATTCTCACTTACACCATTCGCATCTTCTTCTACCCAAATGGCTGCAACTTGTGATGTTGTAGGCATATGTTAGGGGTGAACCGGGGGTCTTATCAAGTTGATAATTTAGTGGCGGATTTGCGGAGGAAAATAGAAGGGAAATAGTGGGCGAAAGTATGGAGGGTGTTTTAGGAGTTCTTTTTGGTAGTTTATGGAAGAAAAGAATAGGATTAAGAAGGAGAAATGGGGAGGTAAGAAATGGGAGAAAATCGGGGATGGATAAACCAAGTTGGTGTTTAAGAGATATTACACACTCTTATCCTAACTTGGGGTTTGAATCTAGAATTTAATTAAGATATGACACACTTAATCAAATATCTAGAACCTAAAACTCACACTTAAGATAACCACCCTTAAGATATAGAATTAGGAATTTGGCTAAAATAGCATCACACTATTTTATGGATACTCAAAGAGTAAAGGATTTTCAATGTTCAAAG